TGTGTAGGGGCTGTGTGTGTGTTGTGTAGGGGCTGTGTGTGTGTGTAGGGGCTGTGTGTGTGTGTAGGGGCTGGTGTGTGTGTAGGGCTGTGTGTGTGTGTAGGGGCTGTGTGTGTGTGTGTAGGGCTGTGTGTGTGTGTAGGGCTGTGCGTGTGTGTAGGGCTGTGCGTGTGTGTAGGGCTGTGCGTGTGTGTAGGGGCTGTGTGTGTGTAGGGGCTGTGTGTGTGTGTGTAGGGGCTGTGTGTGTGTGTGTGTAGGGGCTGTGTGTGTGTGTAGGGGCTGTGTGTGTGTGTAGGGGCTGTGTGTGTGTGTAGGGGCTGTGTGTGTGTGTAGGGGCTGTGTGTGTGTGTGTGTAGGGGCTGTGTGTGTGTGTAGGGGCTGTGTGTGTGTGTAGGGGCTGTGTGTGTGTGTAGGGGCTGTGTGTGTGTGTGTAGGGCTGTGTGTGTGTGTGTAGGGGCTGTGTGTGTGTGTAGGGGCTGTGTGTGTGTGTAGGGGCTGTGTGTGTGTAGGGGCTGTGTGTGTGTGTAGGGGCCGTGTGTGTGTCTATGGGGCTGTGTGTGTGTGTGTAGGGGCTGTGTGTGTGTGTAGGGGCTGTGTGTGTGTGTAGGGGCTGTGTGTGTGTGTAGGGGCTGTGTGGTGTGTGGTGTAGGGGCTGTTGTGTGTGTGTGTAGGGGCTGTGTGTGTGTGTGTAGGGGCTGTGTGTGTGTGTAGGGGCTGTGTGTGTGTGTGTAGGGGCTGTGTGTGTGTGTAGGGGCTGTTGTGTGTGTAGGGGCTGTGTGTGTGTGGTAGAGACTGTGTGTGTGTGGGGGCTGGGTGGGTGTGTCTGTGTGTGTGTAGGGGCTGTGTGTGTGTGTAGGGGCTGTGTGTGTGTGTGTAGGGGCTGTGTGTGTGTGTGTAGGGGCTGTGTGTGTGTGTAGGGGCTGTGTGGTGTGTGTAGGGGCTGTGTGTGTGTGTGTAGGGCTGTGTGTGTGTGTGTAGGGGCTGTGTGTGTGTGTGTAGGGGCTGTGTTGTGTGTGGTGTAGGGCTGTGTGTGTGTGTGTGTAGGGGCTGTGTGTGTGTGTAGGGGCTGTGTGTGTGTGGTAGGGGCTGTGTGTGTGTGTAGGGGCTGTGTGTGTGTGTCGGTGGCTGTGTTGTGTGTGTAGGGGCTGTGTGTGTGTGTAGGGGCTGTGTGTGTGTGTAGGGGCGTGTGTGGTGTGTAGGGGCTGTGTGTGTGTGTGTAGGGGCCTGTGTGTGTGTGTAGGGGCTGTGTGTGTGTGTAGGGCTGTGTGTGTGTGTGTAGGGGCTGTGTGTGTGTGTAGGGCGTGTGTGTTGTGTGTAGGGGCTGTGTGTGTGTAGGGGGCTGTGTGTGTGTGTGTAGGGGCTGTGTGGTGTGTGTAGGGGCTGTGTGTGTGGTAGGGGCTGTTGTGGTGTGTGTAGGGGCTGGTTGTGTGTGTGTGTTAGGGGCTGTGTGTGTGTGTAGGGGCTGTGTGTGTGTGTAGGGGCTGTGTGTGTGTGTAGGGGCTGTGTGTGTGTGTGTAGGGGCTGTGTGTGTGTGTAGGGGCTGTGTGTGTGTGTAGGGGCTGTGTGGGTGTGTGTGTAGGGGCTGTGTGTGTGTGTGTGTAGGGGCTGTGTCTGTGTGTGTAGGGGCTGTGTGGTGGTGTAGGGGCTGTGTGTGTGTGTGTAGGGGCTGTGTGTGTGTGTGTGTAGGGGCTGTGTGTGTGTGTAGGGGCTGTGTGTGTGTGTAGGGGCGTGTGTGTGTGTAGGGGCTGTGTGTGTGTGTAGGGGCAAGTGTGTGTGTGTGTGTAGGGGCTGTGTGTGTGTAGGGGCGTGTGTGTGTGTAGGGGCTGTGTGTGTGTGTAGGGGCTGTGTGTGTGTGTAGGGGCTGTGTGTGTGTAGGGGCTGTGTGTGTGTGTAGGGGCTGTGTGTGTGTGTAGGGGCTGTGTGTGTGTAGGGGCTGTGTGTGTGTGTAGGGGCGTGTGTGTGTGTGTGTAGGGGCTGTGTGTGTGTGTAGGGGCTGTGTGTGTGTAGGGGCTGGGTGTGTGTGTAGGGGCTGTGTGTGTGTAGGGGCTGTGTGTGTGTGTGTAGGGGTGTGTGTGTGTAGGGGCTGTGTGTGTGTGTGTGTAGGGGCTGTGTGGTGTGTAGGGGCTGTGTGTGTGTAGGGGCTGTGTGTGTGTAGGGGCTGTGTGTGTGTGTAGGGGCTGTGTGTGTGTGTGTGTAGGGGCTGGTGTGTGTGTAGGGGCTGTGTGTGTGTGTGTAGGGGCTGTGTGTGTGTGTAGGGGCTGTGTGTGTGGGTAGGGGCTGTGTGTGTGTGTGGGGCTGTGTGTGTTGTGTGTAGGGGCTGTGTGTGTGTGTGTAGGGGCTGTGTGTGTGTGTAGGGGCTGTGTGTGTGTGTAGGGGCTGTGTGTGTGTGTAGGGGCTGTGTGTGTGTGTAGGGGCTGTGTGTGTGTGTAGGGGCTGTGTGTGTGTGTCGGAGCTGTGTGTGTGTGTAGGGGCTGTGTGTGTGTGTAGGGGCTGTGTGTGTGGTGTAGGGGGCTGTGTGTGTGTGTAGGGGCTGTGTGGTGTGTAGGGGCTGTGTGTGTGTGTAGGGGCTGTGTGTGTGTGTAGGGGCTGTGTGTGTGTGTGTAGGGGCTGTGTGTGTGTGTGTAGGGGCTGTGTGTGTGTGTAGGGGCTGGTGTGTGTGTTATGGTGTGTGTGTTGTAGGGGCTGTGTGGTGTGTGTAGGGGCTGTGTGTGTGTGTGTGTGTGTGTGGTGTAGGGGCTGTGTGTGTGTGTGTAGGGGCTGTGTGTGTGTGGTAGGGGCTGTGGTGTGTGTAGGGGCTGTGTGTGTGTAGGGGCGTGTGTGTGTGTAGGGCTGGTCGGCGTGTGTGTGGTAGGAGGCTGTGGTGTGTGTAGGAGCTGTGTGTGTGTGTAGGGAAGCTGGTGTGGTGTGTAGGGGCTGTGTGCTGTGTGTGTAGGGCTGTGTGTGTGTGTAGGGGCTGTGTGTGTGTGTAGGGGCTGTGTGTGTGTGTGTAGGGCTGTGTGTGTTGTGTGTAGGGGCTGTGTGTGTGTGTGTAGGGGATGTGTGTGTGTGTAGGGGCTGTGTGTGTGTGTGTAGGGGCTGTGTGTGTGTGTGTAGGGCGTGTGTGTGTTTAGGGGCTGTGGTGTGTGTGTAGGGGCTGTGTGTGGTGTAGGGCTGTTTGTGTGTGTAGGGGCTGGGTGTGTGTGTAGGGGCTGTGTGTGTGTGTTTGTAGGGGCTGTGTTGTGTGTGTAGGGGCTGGTGTGTGTGTGTAGGGGCTGTGTGTGTGTGTGTAGGAGGCTGTGTGTGTGTGTAGGGGCTGTGTGTGTGTGTGTGTAGGGGCTGTGTGTGTGTGTAGGGGCTGCGTGTGTGTGTGTAGGAACTGTGTGTGTGTGTAGGGGCTGCGTGTGTGTGTGTGTAGGGGCTGTGTGTGTGTGTAGGGGCTGCGTGTGTGTGTGTAGGAGCTGTGTGTGTGTAGGGGCTGTGTGTGTGTGTAGGAGCTGTGTTGTGTGTGTAGGGCTGCGTGTGTGTGTGTGTGTAGGAGCTGTGTGTGTGTGTAGGGGCTGCGTGTGTGTGTGTGTAGGGGCTGTGTGTGTGTGTAGGGGCTGCGTGTGTGTGTGTAGGAGCTGTGTGTGTGTAGGGGCTGCGTGTGTGTGTGTAGGAGCTGTGTGGTGTGTAGGGGCTGCGTGTGTGTGTGTAGGAGCTGTGTGTGTGTAGGGGCTGTGTGTGTGTGTGTAGGGGCTGCGTGTGTGTGTGTGTAGGGGCTGTGTGTGTGTTTGGGGCTGTGTGTGTGTGTAGGGGCTGTGTGTGTGTGTAGGGGCTGTGTGTGTGTGTGTAGGGGCTGTGTGTGTGTGTGTGTAGGGGCTGTGTGTGTGTGTGTAGGGGCTGTGTGTGTGTGTGTAGGGGCTGTGTGTGTGTGTGTAGGGGCTGTGTGTGTGTGTGTAGGGGCTGTGTGTGTGTGTGTAGGGGCTGTGTGTGTGTGTGTAGGGGCTGTGTGTGTGTGTGTGTAGGAGCTGTGTGTGTGTGTGTAGGGGCTGTGTGTGTGTGTGTGTAGGGGCTGTGTGTGGTGTGTAGGGGCTGTGTGTGTGTGTGTAGGGGCTGTGTGTGTGTGTGTAGGGGCTGTGTGTGTGTGTATAGGGGCTGTGTGTGTGTGTGTAGGGGCTGTGTGTGTGTGTGTAGGGGCTGTGTGTGTGTGTGTAGGAGCTGTGTGTGTGTGTAGGGGCTGCGTGTGTGTGTGTAGGGGCTGTGTGTGTGTGTGTAGGGACTGTGTGTGTGTGTAGGAGCTGTGTGTGTGTAGGAGCTGCGTGTGTGTGTGTAGGAGCTGTGTATGTGTGTAGGGGCTGCGTGTGTGTGTGTAGGAGCTGTGTGTGTGTGTAGGAGCTGTGTATGTGTGTAGGGCCGGGGGGTGCGGGTGTGCTGGTGGGGGCTGCGCTCGCACCGTGAACTCGTCGATGAACTTGAGGTTCCCGTTGGCGCACAGCGACTCCACGTGCAGCAGGAAGGACTTCTTCGGCACCGGCCTGCGGGGGGCGGGGGGCGGGGGTAGGGGGGAGGGGGGCGGGGGGAGGGGGGAGGGGGGCGGGGGGCGGGGGGCGGGGGGAGGGGGGGGCGGGGGGCGGGGGGCGGGGGGCGCGCAACAAACACAACGGTCCGAGTCCCACCCGGCTCCACCGGGCAGCCCCCGTGTGGCCGCATCCTCACACACCGCACACGTTGGCACGTCAAACTCCCCCGCCGCACCAGCGGCATGACCACGGCAACACAGCCACGGCACACAACGGCATGACCACGGCAACACAGTAGCACGCAGCGGCACACGGCACACAGCCACGGCACACAGCCACGGCACACAGCGGCACCGTCACGGCACATAGCGGCACACGGCAACACAGCCACGGCACACAGCGGCACGCGGCAACAGTGGCACACAGCGGCACGCGGCAACAGTGGCAACCAGCGGCATGACCACGGCAACACAGCCACGGCACACGGCGGCACCGCCGCGGCAACACGGCAACTCCGCCACGGCACACAGCGCGGCAGCGGGAGAAGCAAGCGCCATGCAGTGGCTGCGGTGGCGGCGAGAGGATTGCGTGGTGGTGGTGTTTGGAGGGGGGGGGGGCAGGCGATGAGGTCGCGACCGCGCGCCAGGGCAGTGAAGTATGCCCGGCAGGCTCCGTAGCCGCCGACCGCCACCGGCGCGTGGCAGACGTGGCGTCGAGTGTGCAGGCGGTGCAACTGCGCCGACACTTCCCGATCGCTGACCGCTCCACAGAACGCCACCGCGGCTCGGCACACGGCAGAGGTTGCAACCGGGTACCCGGTACCCGTACCCTACCCGATACCTGTTTGCGACCCTGGTGCGGCCGGGTACGGGTACGGGTAGGCCGTGAGTCACTGGTGAGTCACCGTGATTGTCACTCATTTCCCAACGTCTTGTCTCTTCTCACAATTCAAGTTCCTAGAATCAACCCACCCGCACCTGCAACATGGCTTCATCCCAGAGGTCGCAATCAGGTACCCGGCCGGGTACGGGTACGGCCGGGTACGGGTACCCGTTTGCGACCCTGGTGCGGCCGGGTACGGGTAAGGAATCAAAACCCGTTTGAGACCTCTGGCACACGGGAATGTGGTAGGGGGGCGCAGACGGCGGTGGGAAGCGCACGGCACTCGGCACGGCACACAGGAGCGGGCAGCACACCCGGTGTGGTGGGGTGGTGGTGGTGGGGTGGTGGTGGTGGTGGTGGGGTGATGGGGTGGCGGTGGTGGTGGCGGTGGTGGTGGCGGTGGTGGTGGCGGTGGTGGTGGGGTGGTGGTGGTGGTGGTGGGGTGGTGGTGGTGGGTGGTGGTGGTGGGGTGGTGGTGGTGGGGTGGTGGTGGTGGTGGGGTGATGGGTGGCGGTGGTGGTGGCGGTGGTGGTGGCGGTGGTGGTGGGGTGGTGGTGGTGGTGGTGGGGTGGTGGTGGTGGGGTGGTGGTGGTGGGGTGGTGGTGGTGGGGTGGTGGTGGTGGGGTGGTGGTGGTGGGGTGGTGGGGTGGTGGTGGGGGTGGTGGTGGTGGGGTGGTGGGGTGGTGGTGGGGTGGTGGTGGTGGGGTGGTGGTGGTGGGGTGGTGGTGGTGGGGTGGTGGTGGTGGGGTGGTGGTGGTGGGGTGGTGGGGTGGTGGGGTGGTGGTGGGGTGGTGGGGCGGTGGGGCGGTGGTGGTGGTGGTGGTGGGGGTGGTGTGGTGGTGGTGGTGGTGGGGTGGTGGTGGTGGGGTGGTGGGGTGGTGGGTGGTGGTGGGGTGGTGGTGGTGGGGTGGTGGGGTGGTGGTGGTGGGGTGGTGGGGTGGTGGTGGTGGGGGTGGTGGGGTGGTGGGGCGGTGGTGGTGGTGTGGTGGTGGTGGTGTGGTGGTGGTGGTGGGGTGGGGTGGTGGCGGCGGTGGTGGCGGCGGTGGTGGTGGCGGTGGTGGTGCGGACTTACTTGACCGACTTCCTGTAACTAAGCAGCCTAGAACAATGAGAGAGGCAGTGTTTCACTCGGTGGTACGGCAGCTACCGCAACGCGGCTACCACAACGCGGCTACCGCACAGCCCCCCGCTCGGCTCCTGCGCAGTGAGCATTGCGTAGCCACCGCTGCGTCTGCGGCCTCGACCATCAGAGTCGAGTGATGAACGGAGTTGACCCTCGGCGATCGTCATCATTATCGTCATCATGATCGTCTTCAACATCATCATCGTCATCATCGTCGTCATCATCATCGTCATCATTATCGTCGTCGTCATCATCATTATCGTCGTCGTCGTCGTCATCATTATCATCGTCGTCATCATTATCGTCATCATGATCGTCTTCAACATCATCATCGTCATCATCGTCGTCATCATTATCGTCATCATCATCGTCATCATTATCGTAGTCGTCATCATTATCGTCATCATCGTTATCGTCATCGTCGTCATCATTATCATCATCGTTATCATCGTCGTCATCATCGTCGTCATCATTATCGTCATCATCATCATCGTCATTATCGTCATCATCATCGTCGTCATCATCGTCATCATCATTATAGTCATCGTAATGGTCGCCATCATCGTCATCATCATTATCGTCATCATCGTCGCCGTCGTGATCGTCATTATCGTCATCATTATTGTAATCGTCGTCGTCATCACAATCATCATCGTCAAATGAGCATCGTCGCTGATCCTCCTGGGGAAACCACGAGGTTCAGAGGATGCGCGACAGACCCGCGCGCAAATCGTTGTCGTGCCTCGTGCGACACAAAAGAGATAATAAACATCAACAACTACACTGGGTTCTAGATTTGATTCTAGATTTGAAGCTTTCGTGACTGCAATGATTCATATTCTTAGATTTTTTCAGTAAAGTCACGTAGGTAAAAACATTAAAAAGTAAAATAAAATAAAAATCACGACGTTCCGGAGGCAACACAAGCTTCCGTCTTCAGGTGGTACCGTCACAGCCACGACAGCTGCATCACGTAAATGAGAGATTGCAAGAGCTACCACTCCGTATATATAATGGTTGGAGAGGGTGGTGGGGCAAGGGCCGCATACTTATTATTAATATGGTAAGGTGAGGCTTAAGACTAAGAATAGACTGCATAAGAAAGGCTGAACTACACTGGGCTCCCCTCGCTCCTTTCGCCGGCTCGCCATCGCAACGGTGCCGAGCCGATTCGAGCGGCCGAACAGACGTGATGCACTGTGCACCGGTTTCGACTGAACTAGGAATCGTCGGCAACGGTGGAGTCACCACCTCCAAGCGGTTGCGGGGTCGAATGTCTTTGCATCAGTCAATACTATCCTCCATCTCTATACTAACCAGGCCGACGCCTGCTGAGCTTGGGGTGAGTCTGGGCTCAGTCCCCCATCTCTGCACTAACCAGGCTGACCCCTGCTTAGCCTGAAGGAGCTGACGGTGGTGGTGCTGGATGCTGTGTGTGTGTGCAGGCTGCTTAGCTTGGGGTGAGTCTGGGCTCAGTCCCCAATCTCTGCACTAACCAGGCTGACCCCTGCTTAGCCTGAAGGAGCTGGTGGTGGTGCTGGTGCTGTGTGTGGTTGCAGGCTGCTTAGCTTGGGGTGAGTCTGGGCTCAGTCCCCAATCTCTGCACTAACCAGGCTGACCCCTGCTTAGCCTGGAGGAGCTGGTGGTGGTGGTGGTGCTGTGTGTGGTTACAGGCTGCTTAGCTTGGGGTGAGAGTCTGGGCCCAGTCCCCCATCTCTGCACTAACCAGGCTGACCCCTGCTTAGCCTGAAGGAGCTGGTGGTGGTCGTGGTGCTGTGTGTGGTTGCAGGCTGCTTAGCTTGGGGTGAGTCTGGACCCAGTCCCCTGTCTCTGCACTAACCAGGCTGACCCCTGCTTAGCCTGAAGAAGCTGGTGGTGGTGGTGCTGTGTGTGGTTGCAGGCTGCTTAGCTTGGGGTGAGTCTGGGCTCAGTCCCCTGTCTCTGCACTAACCAGGCTGACCCCTGCTTAGCCTGGAGGAGCTGGTGCTGGTGGTGCTGTGTGTGGTTGCAGGCTGCTTAGCTTGGTGTGAGTCTGGGCCCAGTCTCCCGTCTCTGTACTAACCAGGCTGACCCCTGCTTAGCCTGGAGGAGCTGGTGGTGGTGGTGGGGCTGTGTGTGTGCAGGCTGCTTAGCTTGGGGTGAGTCTGGGCTCAGTCCCCCATCTCTGCACTAACCAGGCTGACCCCTGCTTAGCCTGGAGGAGCTGGTGGTGGTGGTGCTGTGTGTGGTTGCAGGCTGCTTAGCTTGGGGTGAGTCTGGGCTCAGTCCCCCATCTCTGCACTAACCAGGCTGACCCCTGCTTAGCCTGGAGGAGCTGGTGGTGGTGGTGCTGTGTGTGGTTGCAGGCTGCTTACTGAACGCTGAACGGGTCACGGTGCTTGAACAGGAACGAGGAGAGGCTGGGGGTGTGCACGAGACAAAGACAAAGATCCCCCGTGTAGCCTTTAAACAGACCGTTGGGGCAAGGGCTGTTAGCGAGCAGCACCTGTGAAGGCCGGCTCGGAGCGCAAGGGGGTGGGGTGTGGAGAACTATGATGCACGCACCAATGCACGCACACACACACACCAGCACACACACGCACCAACACACACACGCACACACACACACACCAACACACACACACCAACACACACACACCAACACACACCAACACACACACACACCAACACACACACACACACACCAACACACACCAACACACCAACACACACCAACACACAGACACCAACACCAACACACACAGACACCAACACCAACACACACACACACACCAACACACACAGACACACGCACACAGACACACACACCAACACACACACACACACCAACACCAACACACACCAACACACACACACACCAACACACACCAACACGCACACACGCACACAGACACACGCACCCCAACACACATACCCCAACACACACACAAACACACACCAACACACATACCCAAACATACACACAAATACACACACAAACACACATACCCAAACATACACACACTAACACACCAACACACACCAATACACCAACACTCATACCCCAACACACACACGCAAATACACCAATCCACACACCAACACACATACCCAAACGCACAGACACCAACACACACACATACCCAAACACACACACACAAACACACACACCAACACACAGACACCAACACACCAACACACATACCCAAACGCACAGACACCAACACACACACATACCCAAACACACACACAGGCAGGGATCCCACGTGACGCACGGCCGGGGCAACAAGCTGTTAGCGAGCACCTATTAAGGCCGGCAGGGCACACGAGGTTTGGTGGACCGAGAGGACAGCAAAACAAAACCGAGAACCTTTAAATTCCACGTCAGTTCAGTGGGAGATCACACACAGGGGTGGGACGCTGCACGAGTGGGCCTGGGGGAGGGCGAGCGCGCGGGTGAGCGTGTGGGTGAGTGTGCGGGTGAGCGTGTGGGTGAGCTTGCGGGCGAGCGCGTGGGTGAGTATATGGGCGAGCTTGAGGGTGAGCTTGTGGGTGAGCGTGCGGGCGAGTGTATGGGTGAGCTTGTGGGTGAACGTGGGGGAGCGCGTGTGGGTGAGCATGCGGGCGAGTATGCGAGTGAGCATGGGGGCTAGTGTGCGGGTTAGCGTGGGGGTGAGTGTATGGGCGAGCGTGTGGGTGAGCGTGGGGGCGAGCTTGTGGGTGAGCGTGGGGGCGAGCTTGTGCATGAGTGTGCGGGCGAGCGTGCGGGCGAGCATACGGGCGAGCGTGCGGGCGAGCGTGTGGGCGGGCGAGCGTGCGGGCGAATGTACGGGTGAGCTTGTGGGCGAGCGTGTGGGTGAGCGTGTGGGTGAGCATGTGGGTGAGCTTGTGGGTGAGCTTGTGGGTGAGCGTGCGGGCAGGTGAGCATGCGGGCGAATGTACGGGTGAGCGTGTGGGCGAGCGTGTGGGTGAGCGTGTGGGTGAGCTTGTGGGTGAGCTTGTGGGTGAGCATGCGGGCAGGTGAGTGTGCGGGCGAATGTACGGGTGAGCGTGTGGGCGAGCATATGGGTGAGCTTGTGGGTGAGCTTGTGGGTTAGCTTGTGGGTGAGCGTGGGCGCGGGCGGGTGAGCTTGTGGGCGAGCGTGGGTGCGGGCGGGTGAGCTTGTGGGTGAGCGTGCGGGCGAGTGTATGGGTGAGCTTGTGGGTGAGCTTGTAGGTGAGTGTGTGGGCGGGCGAGCGTGCGGGCGAATGTATGGGTGAGCTTGTGGGCGAGCGTGTGGGTGAGCGTGTGGATGAGCGTGTGGGTGAGCGTGTGGATGAGCGTGTGGGTGAGCGTGTGGGTGAGCGTGTGGGTGAACGTGTGGATGAGCGTGTGGGTGAGCGTGTGGGTGAGCTTGTGGGTGAGCGTGCGGGCGGGCGAGCTTGTGGGCGAGCGTGCGGGTGAGCATGTGGATGAGCTTGTGGGCGAACGTGTGGGTGAGCGTGCGTGCGGGCGAGCGCGCGAGTCTCACCGGGAGGGAGCGCCGTCGCGTGTCTCCGGCTCCGAGAGGCTGAACAGCTGGTCCAGCTTGAGCTTCGTGTCCAAGATCTCGGCGTCGCGTGGGGAGTAGGCGCCCCCCTCCTTCTGCCTGCTCCGGAACCTGGGGGGGGCAAGGGGGGGGCAAGGGGGGGGGTGGGGGGGCGATGGGGGGGGGGGCGAGAGGGGGGGCGAAAGGGGGGGCAAGGGTGGGGAAAGGGGGGGCTGGTTAAAGCTTATCACCGCACTTTTGCGCAGTGCTCATCAAGGAGCAATCGTCACGCGAACTGCCGGTCGTCGTCCTCCCGGGCTGCTCATGCTGGAGAGCGGCCCACGTGGAACCGGATGTCAAGGAGCTACCTCGGAGGCCGCCCCTTCGTTCAAGTGGGTGAGGCTGTGGCGAGCCTGAGGTTGTGGTAGCGGTTGTTGCCGAGGTTGCGGGTGAGGTTTTGGTTGCGGGTGAGGTTTGTCGTGAAGGTTGTAGCCGTGGTGAGCCTGTGGTTGTGGTGCGGTTGTTGCCGAGGTTGTGGTGAAGTTGTGGTTGCGGGTAAGGTTATTGTGAAGGTTGTAGCCATGGTGAGCCTGTGGTTGTCGTGAAGGTTGTAGCCGAGGTTGTGGTTGTGGTTGTGGTGACATTGTGGTGAGGTTGTGTTGAGGTTTTGGTTGCGGGTGACATTGTGGTGAGGTTGTGGTGAGGTTTTGGTTGTGGGTGAGGTTGTGGTGAGGTTTTGGTTGTGGTGACCTTGTGGTGAGCCTGCAGCCGTGCCTGTGGTGAGGCTGCGGTTGTGGTGCGGTTGTTGCGTGGTTGTTGCCGAGGTTGTTGCGAGGTTGTGGTTGAGTGTGCGGTGAGGTGAGGTGGTTGCCGCTCCTCACCTGGTGAGGAAGACGACCATGAGGACGAGGAGGATGAGGGATGCGACGAAGAGGGTCACCCCGATGACGACCCCCACGGTACTGCCGGAGAGTCCATCCCCTACAAAGACAAAGGTCCCCCGTGTAGCCTTCACGGACTGTTGGGGCAAGTGCTGTCAGTGAGTAGAAGCATCCATGAAGGCCACACCAAAGACAAAGATCGCCCGTGTAGCCTTAACGGACTATTGGGGCAAGTGCTGTCAGCGAATAGAAGCATCTATGAAGGCCACACCAAAGACCAAGGTCCCCCGTGTAGTCTTAACGGACTGTTGGGGCAAGTGCTGTCAGCGAGTAAAAGCATCTATGAAGGCCACACCAAAGACCAAGGTCCCCCGTGTAGTCTTAACGGACTGTTGGGGCAAGTGCTGTCAGCGAGTAAAAGCATCTATGAAGGCCACACCAAAGACCAAGGTCCCCCGTGTAGCCTTAACAGACTATTGGGGCAAGTGCTGTCAGTATCGAGTTGCACCTATGAAGGACACACCAAAGACAAAGATCCTCCGTGTAGCCTTAACGGACTGTTGGGGCAAGTGCTGTCAGTAGCGAGTAGCACCTATGAAGGACACACCAAAGACAAAGATCCCCCGTGTAGCCTTAACATACTGTTGGGGCAAGTGCTGTCAGCGAGTAGAAGCATCCATGAAGGCCACACCAAAGACAAAGATCGCCCGTGTAGCCTTAACGGGCTGTTGGGGCAAGTGCTGTCAGTAACGAGTAGCACCTATGAAGGACACACCAAAGACAAAGATCGCCCGTGTAGCCTTAACAGACTGTTGGGGCAAGAGCTGTCGGTGAGCGCCTCGTAAGGCTGGGATGGGGTGGCGTTCGAGGTGGGCGGTGTGGCAGTCAAGGAACTCAATTACGGCTGAGTCGACCTTGGGGACGCCCAGGAAAAGTTCACCATTTCCTCTACTCATGATTATGGTTCATGTACCGGACTGACTCACCCAGCGTGCTGATGCGTTCAGAGTACAGCGAGTCCGTGTACTGCCCCAGGATGTTGATGCCTCGAAACTTGAACCTGGGATGCATCATGTGAACAACAACAACATCATCATCAGCAGCATCATCATCATCAGCAGCAGCAGCAGCAGCTCCTAGACATGATTGCACAGTGCCACTCCTTACCCCCTGCGAGCTCGGAGCGCCCAATTCGTGAACTCGCGGGTAAAGAACAGTGATTTAGGGCTGGATTGGTTCCCCGTTTCTGCCGAACATCTTCCGTGAACGTCGAGTGGAGGGATGGGATGGATCCTCCTGATAACATCCCTCCTTGGATAGACGTGGCATGGACCTCCTGATGACATCTCTCCTCGGATAGACGTGGCATGGACCTCCTGATGACATCTCTCCTCGGATAGACGTGGCATGGACCTCCTGATGACATCACTCCTTAGATAGACGTGGCATGGACCTCCTGATGACATCACTCCTTAGATAGACGTGGCATGGACCTCTGATAACATCACTCCTTAGATAGACGTGGCATGGACCTCTTGATAACATCACTCCTTAGATAGACGTGGCATGGACCTCCTGATACCATCACTCCTTAGATAGACGTGGCATGGACCTCTTGATAACATCACTCCTTAGATAAACGTGGCATGGACCTCTTGATAACATCACTCCTTAGATGGACGTGGCATGGACCTCCTGATAACATCACTCCTTAGATAGACGTGGCATGGACCTCTTGATAACATCACTCCTTAGATAGACGTGGCATGGACCTCTTGATAACATCACTCCTTAGATAGACGTGGCATGGACCTCTTGATAACATCACTCCTTAGATAGACGTGGCATGGACCTCTTGATAACATCACTCCTTAGATAGACGTGGCATGGACCTCTTGATAACATCACTCCTTAGATAGACGTGGCATGGACCTCCTGATACCATCACTCCTTAGATAGACGTGGCATGGACCTCTTGATAACATCACTCCTTAGATAGACGTGGCATGGACCTCTTGATAACATCACTCCTTAGATGGACGTGGCATGGACCTCCTGATAACATCACTCCTTAGATAGACGTGGCATGGACCTCTTGATAACATCACTCCTTAGATAGACGTGGCATGGACCTCCTGATACCATCACTCCTTAGATAGACGTGGCATGGACCTCTTGATAACATCACTCCTTAGATAGACGTGGCATGGACCTCTTGATAACATCACTCCTTAGATGGACGTGGCATGGACCTCCTGATAACATCACTCCTTAGATAGACGTGGCATGGACCTCTTGATAACATCACTCCTTAGATAGACGTGGCATGGACCTCTTGATAACATCACTCCTTAGATAGACGTGGCATGGACCTCTTGATAACATCACTCCTTAGATAGACGTGGCATGGACCTCCTGATGACATCTCTCCTCGGATAGACGTGGCATGGACCTCCTGATAACATCACTCCTTAGATAGACGTGGCATGGACCTCTTGATAACATCACTCCTTAGATAGACGTGGCATGGACCTCCTGATACTATCACTCCTTAGATGGACGTGGGATGGACCTCCTGATACTATCACTCCTTAGATAGACGTGGCATGGACCTCCTGATACCATCACTCCTTAGATAGACGTGGCATGGACCTCCTGATACCATCACTCCTTGGATGGACATGTGATGGACCTCCTGATACCATAACTCCTTGGATAGACGTAGCATGGACCTCCTGATACCATCACTCCTTGGATGGACATGTGATGGACCTCCTGATAACATCACTCCTTAGATAGACGTGGCATGGACCTCCTGATACCATCACTCCTTGGATGGACATGTGATGGACCTCCTGATACCATCACTCCTTGGATAGACGTAGCATGGACCTCCTGATACCATCACTCCTTGGATGGACATGTGATGGACCTCCTGATAACATCACTCCTTAGATAGACGTGGCATGGACCTCCTGATGACATCAGTCCTTAGATGGACGTGGCATGGACCTGCTGATGGCATCACAATGCAGTGGCCACTGCTGCTCCTCCTATCGGTGATTAACAACAAATGGCCAACGCGTAGTAGTATGGAGGAGGAGGAAGAGGCTTTCATTACCGATAAGTGAGATTTTCCTGGTAGGATGTGCAGTAGGGTGTGTAGAATAATACATAGTGTAAAATTACAATCTATAAGGTATAGGGTGGTGTATAGTAATCACAAGAAGTACCAGTCGCATATCTGCATTTCCCATAAATATTCTAAAATTCGTAGTTGTATGGTGAATATGCAGCAGTGTGGTGTGCAGTAGGGTGGGTAGAATAATAGTGTAATATTACATAAATATGCTAAAATTCCTCTTGATATGCACATTCTTTTGTCAAGGCGCTCTTCCTCCTCCCTCCCAGCTTAAATAGACGCTCCAAGCCCAGGACGCGTCATTCAGACGCTGTCTCCCCGACAGACCTGTTCCTCACCTGAGGACGGCTGCTTGCGTTGTGGCCGAAACGTCGTGAGAATTGTATTTTATTATGTTTTATTTTTATTATTTTATTATTTCCCTTCTACGTGACTTTACCGACAGACCTGTTCTTCACCTGAGGACGGCTGCTTGCGTTGTGGTCGAAACGTCGTGAGAATTATTTTATTATGTTTTATTATTTTATTATTTCCCTTCTACGTGACTTTACCGACAGACCTGTTCTTCACCTGAGGACGGCTGCTTGCGTTGTGGCCGAAACGTCGTGAGAATTGTATTTTATTATGTTTTATTTGTATTATTTTATTATTTCCCTTCTACGTGACTTTACCGACAGACCTGTTCTTCACCTGAGGACGGCTGCTTGCGTTGTGGTCGAAACGTCGTGAGAATTATTTTATTATGTTTTATTATTTTATTATTTCCCTTCTACGTGACTTTACCGACAGACCTGTTCTTCACCTGAGGACGGCTGCTTGCGTTGTGGCCGAAACGTCGTGAGAATTATTTTATTATGTTTTATTATTTTATTATTTCCCTTCTACGTGACTTTACCGACAGACCTGTTCTTCACCTGAGGACGGCTGCTTGCGTTGTGGCCGAAACGTCGTGAGAATTGTTTTATTATGTTTTATTATTTTATTATTTCCCTTCTACGTGACTTTACCGACATACCTGTTCTTCACCTGAGGACGGCTGCTTGTGTTGTGGCCGAAACGTCGTGAGAATTATTTTATTATGTTTCATTTTTATTATTTTATTATTTCCATTCTACATGACAGTAACCGAAAGAACCAAGAAGATGAATCCCTGCAGTCACGAAAGCTTTAAATCGAAATAAAATACAATCCTCACAATTGTATTTTATTATGTTTGAGAATTGTATTTTATTATGTTTTATTTTTGTATTTTATTATGGTTTATTATTTTATTATTTCCATTCTACGTGACTTTACCGAAAGAACCAAGAAGATGAATCCCTGCAGTCACGAAAGCTTTAAATCGAAATAAAATACAATTCTCACAATTGTATTTTATTATGTTTGAGAATTGTATTTTATTATGTTTTATTTTTGTATTTTATTATGGTTTATTATTTTATTATTTCCCTTCTACGTGACTTTACCGAAAGAACCAAGAAGATGAATCTCTGCAGTCACGCAAGCTTTAAATCGAAATAAAAAACAATTCTCACAATTGTATTTTATTATGTTTGAGAATTGTATTTTATTATGTTTTATTTTTGTATTTTATTATGGTTTATTATTTTATTATTTCCCTTCTACGTGACTTTACCGAAAGAACCAAGAAGATGAATCTCTGCAGTCACGAAAGCTTTAAATCGAAATAAAATACAATTCTCACAATTGTATTTTATTATGTTTGAGAATTGTATTTTATTATGTTTTATTTTATTATGGTTTATTATTTTATTATTTCCCTTCTACGTGACTGTACCGAAAGAACCAAGAAGATGAATCCCTGCAGTCACGAAAGCTTTAAATCGAAATAAAATACAATTCTCACAATTGTATTTTATTATGTTTGAGAATTGTATTTTATTGTTTTATTTTTGTATGTAGTTTTATTTTTATTATTTGATTATTTCCCTTCTACGTGACTTTACCGAAAGAACCAAGAAGATGAATCCCTGCAGTCACGAAAGCTTTAAATCGAAATAAAATACAATTCTCACAATTGTATTTTATTATGTTTTATTTTTGTATTTTATTATGGTTTATTATTGTATTATTTCCCTTCTACGTGACTTTACCGAAAGAACCAAGAAGATGAATCCCTGCAGTCACGAAAGCTTAAAATCGAAATAAAATACAATTCTCACAATTGTATTTTATTATGTTTATTTTTGTATTTTATTATGGTTTATTATTTTATTATTTCCCTTCTACGTGACTTTACCGAAAGAACCAAGAAGATGAATCCCTGCAGTCACGAAAACTTTAAATCGATGATTAACTTCTACTGTGTGTGTTAGGGCGATATGTTTATCTTTCTTGTGCCCTGCGCTACCATCACCGTTTTGTACTCTGCGTTTGTCGTTGTGATGTTCTGACCTCGTGTCCCTACTGGACACCTGTGAAGAAAGAGCTTCATAGCTCATCGGATCGGATTCCTCCTGCAGTAAACATACATATTCTGGTTCTGATATCATTCATGATAACGTTGTTTCTGTTGGGCTGGATCGCGCAGAATAAACGTGTCGTGAACATTCCACCACCCGACGCAGCCAATTAGACAAGATTTGAGCCGTAAACAATTACTGATTGGAACGTTTCTGTGCCAAATAGTGCGTGAATGTGGAGGTGAGTGTACAGGTGAGTGTAGAGGTGAGTGTATGAGTGTGAAGGTGAGTGTGGAGGTGAGTGTAGAGGTGAGTGTAGAGGTGAGTGTATGAGTGTGAAGGTGAGTGTGGAGGTGAGTGTATGAGTGTGGAGGTGAGTGTATGAGTGTGAAGGTGAGTGTAGAGGTGAGTGTACAGGTGAGTGTATGAGTGTGGAGGTGAGCGTATGAGTGCAGAGGTGAGTGTATGAGTGTGGAGGTGAGTGTATGACTGTAGAGTTGAGTGTACAGGTGAGTGTATGAGTGTACAGGTGAGTGTATGAGTGCAGAGGTGAGTGTATGAGTGTAGAGGTGAGTGTATGACTGTAGAGGTGAGTGTACAGGTGAGTGTACAGGTGAGTGTATGAGTGCAGAGGTGAGTGTTCTGGGCGAGTGCACGAGCATTAATCTCCCTCCCCCCGCCCCGCACTCACAGGTAAGCTCTCCCAGGCTTGAGTGGCCCGTTGCACACCTGGTCGGTGCGGGCCTTCTGCCGGCACGTCTGGTCCCCTCCCACGACGAGGACGGGCTCGGTGGCCCGCTGTGCCCCCCGTGGCCGCGCCCACCCCCGCTGGGCCCGGCAGGCGATCCCACGGCCTCCGCCGTGGCCACGTACGGCCGCGGCCGACTGCCAAAGTAGGCCTCATGCCACGTGGCGAGCGGTTCGTCCGCTACGGCTGGAGGGGGGGTGGGGGGGGACATGATGCCCGGTGAAGGTCCATGTGTCTCCCACGTGTCTCCCACGTGTCTCCCACGTGTCCCCACTGTCTCCACCCCTCCCCGTGTCTCCCCCGTGTCCTTCCTGTGTCTTCCCCCACGTCTCCCTCCATGTCCCCCACCCGTGACTCCCCATGTCTCCCCGTCTCCCACGTTGTCCCCACTGTCTCCCCCCCCCCTCCCCGTGTCCTTCCTGAATCTCACCCACCGTGTCCTCCCCATACCCCCGTGACCCCCCCCCGTGACACCCCCGTGACCCCCCCCGTGACCCCCCCGTGCCCCCCCGGGCCCCCCCTGCCCCCTGTGACCCCCCCCCCCCCGTGACCCCCCCTGTGCCCCCTACCCCCGGCCTCCAGCACGATGGTGTGGATGTGTGCTAGGGGTCCTTCCTGAATCTCACCCTCAGTGTCCTCCCCATACCCCCGTGACCCCCCCATGACCCCCCGTGACCCCACATGCCCCCCCCGTGACCCCTACCTCCGGCCTCCAGCACGATGGTGTGGATGTGTGCTAGGGGTCCTTCCTGAATCTCACCCACTGTGTGACCCCCCCGTGACCCCTCCCGTGACCTCCCCCGTGACCCCCCGTGACCCCCCATGACCCCCGTGACCTCCCCGTGACCCCCCCGTGACCCCCCGTGGCCCCCCGTGCCCCCCCCGTGACCCCTACCCCCGGCTTCCAGCACGATGGTGTGGATGTGTGCGAGGGGTCCTTCCTGAATCTCACCCTCCATGTCCTCCCCATACCCCCGTGACCCCCCCGTGACCCCCCCCCCCCCGTGACCCCCCGTGACCCCCCCCCCGTGACCCCCCCCGTGCCCCCTACCCCCTGCCTCCAGCACGATGGTGTGGATGTGTGCGAGGGGTCCTTCCCCATGACCCCCCCCCCGTGACCCCCCCCCCGTGACCCCCCGTGACCCCCCCCCGTGACCCCCCCCGTGACCCCCCCGTGACCCCTACCCCCGGCCTCCAGCACGATGGTGTGGATTTGTGCGAGGGGTCCTTCCTGAATCTCACCCACCGTGTCCTCCCCATACCCCCGTGACCCCCCGTGACCCCCCCCCGTGAACCCCCCCCCGTGGAACCCCCCCCCGTGACCCCCCGTGACCCCCCGTGACCCCTACCCCCGGCCTCCAGCACGATGGTGTGGATGTGTGCTAGGGGTCCGTGCTCGTCGCTGAAGAGGCAGCCCGGAGCGGCGAGCGCCACCGTGTCGGCCGTGACGGCGCGGGAGCCGTCGGCACGGCGCGCCACCACGGGCAGCCCCAGCGGCACCGGTGGGGCTGGGGGGGCAGCCACAACGACAACCACAACAACTTCAACAACAACCATCACGACAACAACTTCAACAACAACCATTACCACAACAACTTCAACCACAACAACCACCGCCACAACAACAACTTCAACCACAACCACCACAAAAACAACTTCAACCACCACCACAACAACAACTTCAACAACAACAACCACCACCACGACAACAACTTCAACAACAACAACCACCACGACAACAACTTCAACTACAACAACCACCACCACGACAACAACTTCAACCACAACCACCACGACAACAACTTCAACTACAACAACCACCACCACGACAACAACTTAAACTACAACAACCACCACCACGACAACAACTTCAACTACAACAACCACCACCACGAAAACAACTTCAACCACAACCACCACGAAAACAACTTCAACTACAACAACCACCACCACGACAACAACTTCAACAACAACAACCAACACCACGACAACAACTTCAACAACAACAACCACCACCACGAAAACAACTTCAACTACAACAACAACCACCACGACAACAACTTCAACAACAACAACCACCACCACGACAAAAACTTCAACTACAACAACCACCACCACGAAAACAACTTCAACTACAACAACAACCACCACGACAACAACTTCAACAACAACAACCACCACGAAAACAACTTCAACTACAACAACCACCACCACGACAACAACTTCAACAACAACAACCAACACCACGAAAACAACTTCAACTACAACAACCACCACCACGAAAACAACTTCAACTACAACAACAACCACCACGACAACAACTTCAACAACAACAACCACCACCACGACAACAACTTCAACTACAACAACCACCACCACGACAACAACTTAGACAACCACCACGACAACAACTTCAACTACAACAACCACCACCACGACAACAACTTCAACAACAACAACCACCACCACGACAACAACTTCAACTACAACAACAACCACCACGACAACAACTTCAACAACAACAACCACCACCACGACAACAACTTCAACTACAACAACCACCACCACGACAACAACTTAGACAACCACCACGACAACAACTTCAACTACAACAACCACCACCACGACAACAACTTCAACAACAACAACCACCACCACGACAACAACTTCAACTACAACAACGACCACCACGACAACAACTTAGACAACCACCACGACAACAACTTCAACTACAACAACCACCACCACGACAACAACTTAAACTACAACAACCACCACCACGACAACAACTTCAACAACAACAACCAACACCACGACAACAACTTCAACAACAACAACCACCACCACGAAAACAACTTCAACTACAACAACAACCACCACGACAACAACTTCAACAACAACAACCACCACCACGACAACAACTTCAACTACAACAACCACCACCACGAAAACAACTTCAACTACAACAACAACCACCACGACAACAACTTCAACAACAACAACCACCACGAAAACAACTTCAACTACAACAACCACCACCACGACAACAACTTCAACAACAACATCCAACACCACGAAAACAACTTCAACTACAACAACCACCACCACGAAAACAACTTCAACTACAACAACAACCACCACGACAACAACTTCAACAACAACAACCACCACCACGACAACAACTTCAACTACAACAACCACCACCACGACAACAACTTAGACAACCACCACGACAACAACTTCAACTACAACAACCACCACCACGACAACAACTTCAACAACAACAACCACCACCACGACAACAACTTCAACTACAACAACAACCACCACGACAACAACTTCAACAACAACAACCACCACCACGACAACAACTTCAACTACAACAACCACCACCACGACAACAACTTAGACAACCACCACGACAACAACTTCAACTACAACAACCACCACCACGACAACAACTTCAACAACAACAACCACCACCACGACAACAACTTCAACTACAACAACGACCACCACGACAACAACTTAGACAACCACCACGACAACAACTTCAACTACAACAACCACCACCACGACAACAACTTAGACAACCACCACGACAACAACTTCAACTACAACAACCACCACCACGACAACAACTTCAACAACAACAACCACCACCACGACAACAACTTCAACTACAACAACGACCACCACGACAACAACTTAGACAACCACCACGACAACAACTTCAACTACAACAACCACCACCACGACAACAACTTCAACAACCACCACGAGTGAGTGGTGAGCAGTGAGTGAGTGGTGAGTGAGTGGTGAGTCAGTGGTGAGCAGTGAGTGAGTGTATGGTGAGTAGTGACACTCACCCATGATGCCCATGCAGTGAGTGAGTAGTGAGTGAGTGGTGAGTGTATGGTGAGTAGTGAGTAGTGAGTGGTGAGTAGTGACACTCACTCATGATGCCCGTGCAGTGAGTGAGTAGTGAGTGCGTGGTGAGTGTATGGTGAGTAGCGAGTGAGTGGTGAGTGTATGGTGAGTGTATGGTGAGTAGCGAGTGAGTGGTGAGTGCCGTGGTGAGTTGTATGGTGAGTAGTGAGTGGTGAGTAGTGACACTCACCCATGATGCCCTTGCAGTGAGTGAGTAGTGCGTGCGTGGTGAGTGTATGGTGAGTAGTGAGTGAGTGGTGAGTGTATGGTGAGTAGTGAGTAGCGAGTGGTGATGTGACTACACTCACCCATGATGCCCGGTGCAGTGAGTGAGTAGTGAGTGCGTGGTGAGTGTATGGTGAGTAGTGAGTGAGTGGTGAGTGTATGGTGAGTAGTGAGTAGCGAG